TATCTCTGTCAGGTTTCCTCCGCTGGAATCTAGGCTGCACCTGTATCTTGCTTTGACCACCACACGAAGGAAGTAACTCCATCACAGTTCTGAGCCGTAAGAAGGCTTAGGAAGGCCCGAGAGCTCCCACGTTTGCACTTCATGGAGCCCAGAGCTGCCGTGTAGGAAGGCAGATGCTCCTGTAGAGACCTCATGGAGAGACCCCAAGAAGAGGCCATGAGGAGAGGGAAAGGCTCTAGGACTACATGGAAAAAGAGAAGGGCCGCACTGTGCCGCCATTCCAGCCTAAGCCTTGCAGCCACCCCACCGAGACACCGGGCACACGAATGGAGCCATCGCGAATGTTCCAGCATCAGCCACCAACTCACTGCAGCCCCATGAAAGACCCAGGCAAGATCGCAGGACACCCATCGGATGAACTCCAGTCAACCCACAGGATCGAGAGAAATATTAAACCGGTTGTGGTTTTAGGCCATTATGTCTCGGGATGGTTTGTGACGTTGCAACAGACGACTGAAAAAATGGCAAGACAAAAAAGGGTTCTGACTACGTAAGGTGGCTTCCTTCTTCCATCCTCTGCACATTCAACAAACCCTTGACCATCCGTCCTTCCCTAAGCCAGGACCACTACCGCAGAATGTGACATTGCTAACCAAGCCCTCACCTTCTTGTAAAAATCCTTTACATCAGACTGCAGTTGGAACCAAGCGTATTCGTGGGACAAAACCCAACAGAAACTGATGTTTAAAAGAGTGAGATATCCAAATACATTACTGTTGCTGCTGCTGCTGCTGCTGCTTCGGCTGGCGAACACAGGCAGTGGCTCCTCACTTGCCAACACAAGGTCAAAACACCCTGCCTAAACACAAGACTTACAAATTTGGGATCTTAAGTATGATGTCATGTCTTAAAATGATAAGCTGGCAAATAAAATAAATGGCATTTTGTAAAGATGTGCACCGTTCTCGTGTTTACGCTACTTAAGATGAAGGTTCTAATAAGTCATCGGCTATGTTCCTTTAAAGGGAAGTTTTATAACTGAGATGAATCACAACTGAAAAAGATCAAAGTTAAAAAACATCAATGATGCCATGGGGTACTTTTTAATCTTGTAATGAGTGATGATCATGTGTTCTTATGAAGTTAGTCCAACTGCCAACGCCAGATGTGTATATTAAGTAGAGGAGTTGTTTGTGATGTGACAGCACCGGTTCAGCTGCCAGAGACAGAAAACACAGAAGGATAAAACCTTTCTGATTTTTGAGTGAAAAGCCAGCTTTGGCAGATGCGTCGATAAGCAGGGCCTCAGAGGGGGCACTGGGGCCACAGCATCCTCTCTTGGACTTTGCTGCAAACAAAGCCTGTTTATCACCAGTTCTGCACAGCTGTCTCCAAGCAGCACAAATACCTGCTCAAGACACAGGTTATAACACTTATTAGTGTCATTTACTAATGAGGAGAAATTAGTAAAGCCATCTGCAAGGAAAAATATAATCCACTAGAGAAGAGAATCTAGATGGTATCTATTTCCTGGAAGCATACTATAAGCAAAACTTACAACAAACTTCTGACACTGAAGGAAATTGCTGTAATAAAAGCAAACACTTAATGAGCACCTACTACATGACACTCACTGAGCTATGCATTCTACATGCATTACATCATTTGACATCTTTGCAGCAACTGGTAAAGAAGATGCTATTATCCTCCTTTTAACAGATGAGCAAACTGAGGCAAAGAGAAGTTAGGTAACTTGCCTACCAGCTAGTAGGTGGAGTAGGGATTTCAACGCAGACAGACTGACACCAAAGCCCACAACCTTAATCACCATGCTATGTGGAATAAAGACCCAGCCAGTTACTCCATCGCTTGTCCTTGTTTAGAATGGCTGGTCCACCAGAATGGCCTTCAGAGAAAGGAGTGACATTCCTTTATAGGAATCGATAGTACAAAATCTTCAACTTCCAACTATTATAGTAATAAACAGATGTACGCTATTTCTATGATGACCACTACTTAGAGAATTATCTACTTTTCTGGGAGAGGAGGCTAAAAATAATTGCATTAACTGTCTTTTTTTTCCCCTTCCACTCAGGAAAGCTTTCTAAAAGCCCTTCTCTGTTAACAGTTGACAAAATAAGCCTTTTTGAAATCTAGAGCAGTGATTTTCAACCTTTTTCATCTCATGGCACACATACACTAATTACTAAAATTCTATAGCATGCTAAAAATACATATTTTTGCCGGTCTGACAAAAACTAGGTATAATTTTGATTCGTTCACACTGGACGACTGTTGTTGTGTTGGCTGTTGTCCTTTTCTTTTTATTTGACAGTCCGAGGGGAAAGAGGCCCGTGCCCTGATTAATTAGACAGGTATTGCACGTTTTAACAATTCTTGCAACACGCCAGTCAAAAACCACCGAGACAGAGCAAGAGTTGGCGGACAACCACCTGTGTGCCCAGTCTGACCCACCACCTGCTTTGGTAAGTAAAGTTTAATCGAAACACAGCCACAACCATTCGTTTATGTAGTAGCTAAAGCTGCTTGTGCACTGCCATGGCAGAGGTGAGTCCTTATGTCAGAGATCACATGGGCCACAGAGCTGAAATTATTTGCTATCTGGAACTTCATAGAAAAAGTTTGCCAAACCACTTTCTAGAGGATTTATCACACATATTAGAGGACATTATGTACACACACCAATCAATCAAAATCCTACTATACCCCCCCCTTGAAAAAAAAAAAAAGAAAGAAAATCCTGGGCATTTTCCGCACCAAGGAGGCTCCCGATTAAAGAACAATATTAAGAAGGACACAACACTGCAAACACTGAGTGCCCAGGGTGGCCAAGAGCAGGGCAGAAGGAAACAATCCGACACACAGAGTGCAGCTGGTAAGACTAAGATGTTACTGATACCAGACCCATCCTGATATCCAGACACTTAGTCACCTCATGATGTCAGGGAAATGACATTACAGGTTCACAGACATTTTTGGTTCTCGAGAAATGTTCCTCGGGCTGATCTAGGGCAGTGGTCTGCCACGCGAGATCTGTATCTGCTTCCCCCTAACACCCTCAGCACCCTCAGCAGCACCCACAACTTGAACTCAGGTCACACGTGTCCCATCTGCCCGCGCTGCCCCCAACTCTCATGCCTCTCAGAGCACTTCTGTGCCTTCACAAGGCACTGAGCCTATCAACTAATTAACTCTGCCAACACCCTCTTTAGAACAAAGTAATATTATCCTCGCTTAAAAGAGAAGTGCCTCTCTACCTTTTGTCTCATCTTTCAGAACACCTACCCTTCCCCGCCTCCTCTCCCAATCATCAGCTTTGAAGCATCAACTCTTGAGTGCGGAACACACACACACACAGATATACACACATACAATAATGGTTTTTCCAAGAACCGAGGAAAGCAGCTGAGATCAGCAGGAAACATCTTTAAAAGATAAGTATTAGTAGGGCTAAATGTTCAAAGACTACTGTCCTGCTCTACGTACGCATTACTAAAATGAACGCCCCTGCCTTTTCAGGAACTCAAGGATTAATTAGATAAAATGTTAGAAGATGTTTTCCGTCATAAGGCATCATTCCTGACTTATGGCAATCCAGAAAAGTCAGGAAAAGCCCCAAACCAGGCAAGACAGCCCTGCTCTATTCTGTCCGCCTGCACTGTGTCACCGCTGGCCCCTAGGAATGGAGGACTGGTACAACCGGAGACATGTGTATGGCTACCGCCTAAGAGGACATTCCCAAACTGAACAGACAGGACCAGCACTGACCCAACACTGTGAGCCTGGAAGAACGCCATACACATGAAAGGGAAGAAGAAAAACCTCAAAGACTGGCTTCTAGGCAGGAAACCTCCCCAGTTCAGGCAAGCAGTCGGCCTTGGTGAGAAGAGACAGCCGCAAGGAACGGAGGGCACTGTGTGTTCCCACTGCAAAAAGACACGCCACTTGGGAGAGGCGAAACTCCACCAGCTCTTGTCTCTCGGTGTTAGGGGAAGAAAAGATATGCCACTCTCAGTGTCTAGGCAGGTGTATCGTTACATAACAAACATTTCTGCCAGCCGTACCCCTACCACAAACTGAATTTAGCTCCGACCACAATGGCTACATCTCCGGTGTATTCGCTCATCAAAGGCAGAGTTCTTCTATCTGCTGTTTCCATTGGCACAGATTTTTTAATGTTGTATCTATCAGATAATCTTTAGTCTCTAAACACATTTCAATACTGCTATGACAAGTCTGTCAAAGCATTCGGGGGGCGGGGGGTAGGGAACCAAACCTGCATCAGTTTAGATGCAGGAGGAAACTGTGTATTAGCCCAAACGGATTACATGCGCTTCCTTGAACTGATGCTGGTTAAACCTTCTGGATGTCCAGACAGACAAGTAAACCAAGGGGGATTTAAACCCGGTTTGACTCTCTATGTTAAAAGAAACTACCTATAACAATTACTAGAACATGACCAAACAACAGTGTTGTAACAATCAAGCATGTTATCATTTGCAAATAAATTCTTTGTAATTAAGCAGTGTGCTCTTTATAAAGGGAATTGAGTGGGCGAGGTAAAAAGTTAAAACACATTCTTAGACCATGGGAAACACACAAATGCTTTTTGACTAACCTCTAGAGTTTTCAGTTTACTGTTTTCTTCCTCAGTCCTCGTGGGTCTACTCCACACTGTCTACTGTGTACAGCAGATGAGCAGAATTTCTTAGGAAATAGTTACAGTGACTGAATAATTATTCACTCATTTCCCAAAGTTATATAGGCCTTACCAATTTTGTGGCAAAGGTTAAACGTGTAATTTTATTTTCTACTAACAGTGAGGTTGTATTAACTGTCCCTCACTATAAAATGTATGCAGATAGCAACCTTTGCAAAGAAACTATTTCCATGAAATAGCACTGACTTACTTGGGACAAATTCCTCCTAGCGTCTCTGTAAACTCTATGACCATTTCCAACAGGAAGGCAAGTACTTACTTCTGGGTTCCCGGGGTCCATCCACTGTCACTTTAATAGCTCTGTGATAGGTGGCTACTTGGGGAGGATTTGTGAAGACAGTAATGGTCAAGGTGAAACTCTTGCCTGAAGAGGTAAAAAAGGAAAACCCATAGTAAATATAAACACATAGTATTGACGACAACATGACGGCAGAGATGTCCAAACTTCACATGAGCCGCTCTGAGCAGGTAATGAAACAGAGGCAAGATTAAGAGTCAGGGCTCCTAAATCCAGAGTCGAATCCCTCTGAAGGCCACTTTAGGAAGTTACTAAACTCTCCGAATGTTACAATCGTCCTCTTCCTTGCAGTGCTGTAAAAGGTGGCTCCAATTTGAAAACAAAAAGCAAGAAAAAAAAAGCCCCAAAAAGCTGCTCAGTAGCAATAGCTGTAATGAAAGCAAAAACCGGGGTCCACTGGAAGAGGGTTCTCTGCCTTTCAGTTTTCTCCAACATCAGGAACACATCCAAACACAGACAATTTTAGAAGTCTTTATTTAGGATTAGGTCATGACCCCATGAGAGAACAATAGTAAATCACTGTTGATTATGTTATTTACTTCACAAGGCTTTAGCATTTCATTTGCTCAACTGCACTACAATAAGAAGATGAAAGAGGAAGGTTCTTATGGGAATCATTTTAACAGGAGCAGTGTCTCCTGTCCTGGCCTTCATGTGCCTGTGGTATGATGATTTCATCATTACTGGAACAAAGATTTTCTCCTCCCTGCCCACCCCTTCCCTAACATACTTCCTTGCTGTTAAATCTTGAAATAACTCCCTGACAATGACTTATTTTTTTGCTAAACGTACAGGACATCTCCTAATATAAATGTGAATTTTTGCTTTTAGCAGAGAGTGTGCTTCGTGGAAATACTATATCTGATGTTTCTAATTAATGAGCTAAAAGTGATGAATGGGGGGAGGGCAGGGAAAAGTTTGGTAGCAGATTAGGATTTCTTTCTCCAGAAGAAGATACCAGCCTCTGTTACACAGACTCACTGACAGTTGTAATCAGTTAGATTTGCAACGGTTAGTCGTGTCAGATAGTCAGAACTGCAAACTGTTACAAGACAGGAAAAGGTGGGCGTGAAACAGTGACTCAATAAAACATTCAGCAATCTCAGGCCAGAGTACTCATTTAGCCTGCCTTTAAAAAGCTCATTTTGTTTTGCCTTGTTTTTTGGTCAGAGACTGTTTTTCCCCTTTACTGAAAGCGGAGGGTATTAAATCAAAATACAAATCTTAAACAATATGTATCAATGCAAAGTTTAATGCAATCTTTTCAAAGTTTAATATGGAACAGGTTACATACAAGGCTTAATGTAGAACAGGTCTTTGACTGTCAAGTCTAGTGAATGGGTTTCTTTTCAACCCAGACCATGTAAGTTACTAAAATATGTTTAAGACACACATCATTTGTTACTCAGTATATATAGTTTTAAGTCTCTTTGGCTATACTTTTCTCCAAGAGGAGAAAAAAGAAGGAAAGAAAACTCAGGAATGCAAGGGAGGGGGGAGATGGATATTGAATAGAAACCTATTAAGTGCCAGCCTCTTCATACACACTGTCTCATTTGATCCAATTCCGTTAAGTTTGTCACCTCCACTTCACATATGAAGAAACTAAAGTCCAGAGAGGCTTGGTGACTTACCCACACAGCTAATAAGTGGAAAAAAAAATCAGGATCTAAACCCAGTTCTCCCACACCCTCAAATGAATGCTTTTCCAAAGAACATTTTTTTAAAATTAATAGGCAATTTATTTCTGCCTGTGTCCCAATAGGCTCAATAAGACCAAGAAACGGTAAATATGAATCCACTAACATAGTATCTTAGCCAAGATGATGAGAACATCTATTCTTCAAGTGTCATTAATATATCATAGTTCATCATTATATACTGGATGTTACATGGAGGTGAGCAGTTTAATTATCTCATTAGAGAACAGGATTTATAATATACATTAAAACTAACTAGAAGAATAAATCAGCCAGGAGTCTAAGCTAGTTTTAGAAAACTTAAAGTCCACAGAGATGGAGATTAGAAAATTGAACAGGAAGCCACTGGATCCAGGTCAGGACTTCCAAACAATGGAAAGATCTGTCTGGAGGAATCACCAGGCTGAATCTCTAGGATAAAAGTTAATTTACACGAAACCATAAAAGGATGCCATTCTAAGTTGGATCCATGGTGGTGAGCCAGAACTGCATTTCTAACAGTGGCTTGAGAGGAAGCTGTCATCCACGGCTCATCTTAATAAATCAAGGGTGTATATATTCCAATTGTCTCTAAGATCTGTGAATAACCTGCTAGAGCTACTGTTTATGAATTTGTCCAAACTGGTCCTCAGACTAGTTCTACTTGAGACTTTTGTAACTTTCTTAAGATATTAAAAGTCATTGCTACTTATCCCAAATTCAGATAAACACCTCATGTAGGTGCAAAAGCCAAGTACAGAATTCAGCCTATAAAAAAGTGTAAAGCATCTAAATGTTCAAAGTGGAACCAGTTTTCTATAAAGAAAGACTTCTTTTAAAAAGAAATAAGTGTTAGGGTGGGGGGAAATAAATATTTAATTATAAGTACAGTCTTCTAAAATCAAATCTTAAGGATCAAATGTACTATAACGACTAAAACAAAACTCAAGAAGGAGGTTCTTTCCACTTGTTACTGGCCCTCCAGAAGGAACATGGGTGTAATGTTCCAGAAACTACCACCCAACAAGGTAACTGGTTCTTCACCTTATAAATAATAACACATTTCCTATGTCAAATGTTTATGTGATTATTTATGATCTCCTTAAACAAAAAAACCCCACCTTTTTCCAAATCCCATTTTTATCACTCTTCATAAATGATAAAAATTCAGACTCCTACTTAAACATGCAGGCTCTTAGAGAGGAAGCTAGCACTCATCCATAGTTTCAGCTAGGAACTAGTAGTGCATATGTCCTCAAGATACGTATTTTCTAAGATAAATACAGGAACTGCCATTAAAAGACAATTCCAACTTAACCTGGGGGGCTGTCCGGACAGTCAGGAGGGCTAAGACTATAAGCAGAGACTGTATCCTAAATGACAAAGTCCCATGCTCTCCATATCATAGGTGCTTAAAAATGCTTGTAAATTAAAAGCAGCATGCTTGAGGTCAAAAGTAAGAAAATATACCAAGGAAACTTATGGACCAAAGTCATTGTAAATTCTTCTGTTTAAAATATAAAGGCTGGAAAAGGAAACAAATTACAATGCAGAAGCCACTCCTAACTTCAGGCAAGTTCCACTGCCGCTCTACTTGTACTCCAAAGCACTTCCCAAGGCCGTGGTGGTCAGATAGCCGATGAAGCCCAAGTGCGTAGTGATGTGACTCTTGATAAATCCAATACTGGTTTTCAATTTCTGAGAATTTACTTTCTACCAGTGAAAAGAAGAACTGTAACAATTAGAGGAACTTGGTGTTGTTTTTTAAATGCTACTGAAAATAGAAAATTTAAAGATCGGAAAAAAATACAGTGGTGGCAGCATGTTGATCCAGACTTAATTACTTAAGAGAAATGTAAAAGTGTGAAAATCAACGAGGAAGCTAGAAAGAGTCTGTCTGAAAGCAGGTCAGGTACACAAGCAGGTTAAAGAGTTTCCTGCCACTGAAAAACTGACCTATTTTTTTTTCCAAAGAGTGATATTTCTTACCGGTGTTCTGTCCTTTTTTACTCATTTCAACTTGATATTACTCTTGCCTTTCAAATAATGTTAATGTAGTGATATAAAGATCTATTATTAGTGATAAATCAATTTTTCCTTCTCTCTCTACCCGCTACCCCCACCCCCAATCTAAGTCTCGAAGACAAGTCTGGACCAATTTCTCCATCCCGCCTCTGGCAGCAGACTGTAGCATTTCAGATCCTCCACCAAGTCCCGGCTGCTTCAAAGGAAAAATCCTACTTTCTTCAGTTAAGATCATAAGAAATATAGGGGGAGGGGGTCAGCTCTGTTTGGACATAATTACACTTCATCAAAAGAAGCTTTCTTCATCTTCCATGCGTGAAAAGTCTGCAAGCAGTTAAGTCTGTCTTTTTTTTTTTAAATATAAAAATTGCTATTTGGGAAACCAGCCAAAACTCAGAAAGCCAATATAGTAAAACAGTGCACACCCTTTGTTTCTCTTTGAAGTTTCTTAAATAAATATGTTGAGGGTTTACAAAGTACACTATCACTTTGCCATAGTTTCTACTCAAATTCATCAGAGAAAAGTTATGCAGCATCTATATAATACAAAAAGCAAGATAAATGAAAACACTAGCTTGAATCTGTAAAGTAAAATATAGCACCCAATCTTTTAAATACTAATATTCATTACTCTAATTTAACACAAAGTAATATTACATAGCAAGAATGATGTAATTCAGGGCACACAGGTAAATCAACATGTTCAAATTGTTCTTGATTCTTCCTAGAAAGAGAAATTTTAATTGTGCTATGAATTTGCACCAATAACTGAAAAAAATGAATACACACTCATACACACTTCACACCTAATCAGTCAACAGTGAGAGAGGATGTGTCTTTTTTTTTTTAATGAAAGCAAACCAAACCTGATGCAGAGATAACCCCTTCAGTTTTGATTCTTCCAGAGGCCTGAGCCTCATTTTATTTCAAACAACCTTTCAGTGACAGTATCTCATTAGCGTGCATCATTTTTTTTTAGTTAAAAAGTACAACTTCTTGGCCCCGTTCCTAGAAAGTAAACTAAAACTACTCATCGGAAACAGCCTTGCTTGAATTTCCCTTATCAAGTTTTTACAATGGTAATAATTTGACATCTGATCCAAACTAAAGAGCAATTACTGAACATGGTTTAAAAATTGATGCTTCTCATTTCCTAATTCAAACCTGGGTTGGAGTAATTCCATAGGTCTTTATTTCACCTCAGTGCTAAAGTGGTCTACTTTCTCTCTTATGATTGAAATACTTAAAATAGAAATATTAGATTCAATAAATAAATAAATGAACATAATACTTCTAATGAATGACTACTAAAAGTCTCTCTATAGGATAAGTAAATAAACCCCAAAATTGGTTTCCTTAAAGACGTTTTTTAAAACATTAAGCCCATTTATAAAATAGTTATGAAAACCCTAAATGGGATTATTTTCTATTTTATAACCTTTTTTAAAGATTCCTAACATTTGACTATGAATTCAAATGGTGAAAACCCTTAAATAATATGGAAATATTTCAAGTTCTGATCCTTCATCTGTCTAGGCAACTCTATACAGTCATTCTAACATAACTAACACATTATTCACCCATTCAAATGAAAAACCATCATAAAAAAAGCTAATTGATTTTTAAACAAATTTTTTGTTACAAGAATAAGTTAACTCATACAGAGGTAATATATGTGATAAGTGAACTGCATTAGGCTGGTCCAATGTGCTGCCACTTGGAGCAAAACTGATATTATCAGGAAATTGATCCAATGCATTCTTTTTTTTTCCTTTGCCCCTCAATTTACTCAGCTATTTGGTTCCTCATAATTCATAACTTGAGCCTCCAACTGTTCTTTTCTCCACCTTATACGTTCACACCCAATGAAAGTAGGAGTGAGTTCTGAAAACACCGTTTGAATATTCAATATCATAAAACAAATGAAAAAGGCCTGAATATTCAGAAAAACACTCAGCTTCATCTGGACATATTTAAATAAGACCTTCAGTAATTCTTTTTAGTAGAAGAAGGTGCTGACTTGTATACAGACTAGCCTACACATCATCAGAGGACCCTGATGTGTTTACTCCATTACCAATATTAAAAATTGGAGACCTACCTCGTCCACTCCGGCCCACAAATCTCAGGTCGTTGAACCTGGCTACTTGGTTTTTCATAACAGCAGAGGCATTTCGGAGCTCAGCAGAATAATTTTCATCATTACCCGCCATGACAGTAACCACAGTCCCATCTGGTACCTCTCCGAGGGCTACCACCTACATAAAACAGGAAACACAGCAGCAATAATGGCTCATCAGAAAAGCTTAAAAACTACAAATATATTCTCACTGTAAGCATCATTCCCTATCAGGACTTAGTGCTCTGGCCCAGTAACAGCAGACAGGAATGAAGCATCTGCTTGTGGGTTAGGACGCCACTTCAACAGACCAGTGTTTCAGGGCCCACCCATTTCAAAGGCAGGCAAAGGTTTCCTTCATTTGTTGTTGCATTCTTTACCGATACATGCACATTTTTTATTAAATCCCCATGTTAGGTTGTCCATAGGAATTATGCCCCAGGAGGAAGGCTGATGCTTCATCTGCAGATTGCATTGTACATATTAAGGCAATGCCTGTCTGCAGCCTGGAGCACCCTGAAGTGTGGTCTCTTCCCAATCACAGGCTGGTAAAGAAAGTCCAGTCAGCTCTATGGGAGAAGACATTTAGGTGAAACCTTGGAATTCCTAACTATATGGAAGCCTAAGCATGGTGTGGTATCTAGGAGTACATTTCATATCCTTACTTTGGGCTAGATATTCAGCTCTTAATTATACTTCAAATAATTAGTAAATGTCCATTCTGCAGTAGGACATTGCTAAATGTCCATTACTAAATGTCCATTCTGCAGTAGGACCCAGTGAAATATACAAAACCATCAAGAAGCTTAAAGTCTAGGTGTATAATAAAGACAAATAACAGGCTGATGATAATCCCTGACAAATGAATGGTATACACAGAAAACACACCCTAGGCTAGACTTCTACTCTGTCTTTGTCCCATCTGCCATCTTAGAATGACACATTTGCCTCCTTAACCTCCACCTTGGACAAATTAACTCGGTCGAGTAAAGACCAGAATAATCAGTCTTTGAGGCTAATAAACCTTTTCACTACTCCAAGCCTAAGAAGGATCACACTTTTTTTTTTTAGCAGGGTCAGCTAATTTGCAAATGGGTGGCTCTTATTAGCATGGAGCCTAGTAAGAAAATGCTGGTGCAGAGCATTTGGGGGGTCACATGTAAAACACAATACTCTTAACCCATTCCCAAGACCCTGCCCCTTGATAATGCCTTTTCTCTCAACTAACTTCCAGGATCATATACTCAAGATTATTTCCATCTCTTCCCTGTTCAGCTTCCAGATGCCCTGGTGATGACTAAGCAATGACTCCAGCTCGAGCACCCCACCACTCTCTGACATTGATGCCCACACATGCTTGCCTGTCTGGCAAATATCCCACTCCTCTTTCTCCTACTTGTGCTGCTACTCCCTACTATGTCAAGATTCCCATGAGGCAAACCTAAGCATTTCATTCCATGCTCCCAATGCAATTTGTACATAGACTCATCAAAGACTTCTCAGACTGTGATCAAATGAACACTATACCTGTATTTTAGGGCTTAATTTCCTGCACCCATGAACCCTAGCCCGGCACTCCTCTACCACATTTTCTGCTCCAGCCAGGAAAAAGAACTTGTCGATATAATTTTCACCCTTAATTTTCTCGTAGTCTGCTTCTCAATTCCATTCCTTCTTTAGTACTTTGGTATTCAGTTTAAAATCCTAAAACTTTCCTTAAATTACAGGGCCCACTTCCACACCATTGCACTGTACTCAGGTGATCCTCATTTCAATGTGCATATATTAATAATTTATCTACTCCTTTTGATATACTTGCCCAAAACTGTGAGACTCACTGCTAGGAGTACAGATTATATTAAACTGGAAACCACATGAGGGAAGGGACTTTATCCATCTGGTTCAGCACTATATACCAAACTCCCACAAAGAGTGCCTGGTACAGACTAAGTATTTGATAAATATCTTTGAGATAAATAGCTTAAAGAACTTCCGGAAGAGCATCAAGTCCCATAGCCAACAGCTGCGAGGCTACCAGATAAAACTCTTAAGAGAGAACCAATTAAAGATTGAGTCAGCATCCCTTGCTAGCAGCAATATACCCTTGCTCCAAACTAGTTTTCCGACAACTTCTTCCATCCCAGAGAGGGAATCATGCCAACTATCATTTACTCATAGTATTTGGTTACTCCACTCAATCTGAGAAGATTTTCAGGTCAAGGGTAAATCCCTTGAGAACACGACTTCCTCCCTGCACACCTCAAGTGGCTGCTGACTATACAGGTAATGCAGTACTACCGATGGAGGCAACGTGCTTTACAATTTTTCAAATTCACAGTGCCAAAAATGTGAACATTTGAAAATATTGAAATAATTGACTACATTTGCCAGGATTCATCTCAATGGTTGACTTTTTTTACACTCAGCATATTGTGTTTTAACACCTGTTGTGTGGTTTTCTAAATATGGAACTAGTAAAGTGTATGAACAAAGGCAGAAAATTGTACTGTTTAGAAGAGAATAAATGCATCAAAATTCAAGAGGCTTCACTTTTTTCCCCACCTCTGCTATGATCTCATACAAGTAACTTCATCTCCAGAACTACAGTTTTCCAATATAAATTGGAAATAATTATTTTAAAGTCTGTAAATACATGTAGAAGATACTATGTAAGTATAGAGTGTAATTTTAATGATGTCCTTTTTGAAAGACGAGGAGGCTAACTTTCGTCCCAAGGTTTTTATTTATGAGCATCCTTAAAGGATGCAACTGAATATGGAATTCTTCACTCCATGTCCTGAGATGTTTTTTGTTGTTGAAAGATAAAGGATGACTGCTGATGGCTTTTACTCCGGTCTGGCTAAATTTCAGAAAAAAATATAAAGAAATCTGCCCCAATATGAAGATTTTCAAGAGCTCTGGGACATTATTATTTTACTGCATATTTTTAACATAATGGGGTTTTTTAGTTAGAAGAAAGAAAATTGATTCAATATGGGAAAATATGAAAGAAAAGATCCCTAAGAGTGAAATACATAAATCCATTTTACTTTGCTTAGGCAGCATAATAATGACCACATTAAATACTGGTTATGTCTTATGTATTACATTTAATACCAAAACAAATAGACAATCACAAATAGTGAGTCTACTATGAGGCTTAGAACTTGGCCTTTAAAAAACAAAAGCTAACTAAAACAGTATAGTGACAACTTTCCCTCTTATGGCTGAACTCTATTTTAATGGCTAAATATATTTTTTCCCTGCTCTGTGTTCTACAGAATCCCATTGCCTAATGATTTTCTGAGGGAAAACTGGGGGGAGAGCATACTGTTTTTAACTTTATATCAATTAGAAACATAATTATATGGTTGAGTTGTTTTTTTTAACGTAGATCTCTGAAAGCTAAAAAGTTTCCCTTGGAGATTCTTAACTGTGTTTATCCAAAAGAAAACCAAAAGAGGCCCTGGTTGGGAAGCTCAGTTGGTTAGAGCATCATCTGTACAGGCCAAGGTTGCAGGTTCCACCCCTGGTCAGGGCAAATTCGAGAATCAACCAATGGCCCTGGCCGCATATCTCAGTTGGCTGGACAGCTGTCTGCAAGAAACACCAGCGTTGCAGGATGCTGCCTGGTGAGGGCACATACAAGAAGCAACCAGTGAATGCATGGATGGGCGAAGCAACAGATCGATGTGTCTGTCTCTCACTCAAATCAATAAATGAAAATTTTTAAAAATTAAAGCATCAACCAATGAATGCATAAATAAGTATAATAACAAATAGAGGTTTCTCTCTCTCTAAAAAACGTCAATAAAAAAGTAAAAGAAAACCAAAAGAATGAAGAAATTTTTACACGTTTCATCTATACAAAACACAAATAATGGAAAACATTCTAGGAGGCAGAAAGAGAGAGCAGTCAAAAATCACTCTTTAGTTAGGAGTGGGGACACATTAAAATTTGTTTCCATAGTACCCAATACAAAAGTTCTGTTCTGCAAATAATTTGTGATGAAACCTTAGCAACTACATTTCTAGATGTTTTTAAAACATAAAATCTATAAATTCAAGCAACTTCACAGGAAAGAGGGTAGTTTTATGGCCTTATATTTTAGAATTGAGAAAGAAGTTCCTTTATTTAGTGCACCTCTCTACAACTAGCATGTAAATCACATGAAGCTTATACAAAATAAAAAACATTTAACTCTAGAAACACTATTGAGATTTTGAATGAGACTCCTTATGATTAAATATGTGAGTTACTCAGATAGAGAAGCAATGAAGAATTAATTCAGACCCTTAAAATTGTTTCTGTGGTCTTATTATATGGAAATAAAAATTGCCCATTACATTTCCATGAAGAGAAGGCTAGTCTTCACTAATCAATTACTCTTAGAGACCAATATCATTTGGCACATTGTACTTGCAGCAAAATTGAAATATAATTCTTTTCGGAGATAAAATCTAATCAAATCTTTTTTGGGGAATACAAAGACAGGTTCAAGGAAGTTATAGCAATAAGAAAAATGTTAATCCTATGGTAATTACTTAAAGATAACTTTAAATAAGCTATCAAAAACCTTCACAAATATGAGTTACTTTTTCAAGTGTAACCTAGAATTTAGGAACACCCAATTGAATCATAGAGGAAAAAAGTAGAAACAATATAAAGTATCATTTCATACTATCTAAAATATAAGTCAAAGAGAAAACTGATGGAAAGTAGTTCAGTTTAAGCCAGGAGTTTATGCGCCATGTTTCAAGCTCATTTGGATATTCCGAAATTTTTTGAAAGGATGCAAACAGCAATGACAAAGGACAAAAATAATGAAAAATATGCTTGTTTTCAAATGTAAGTTTTCTAAATTTAAAAAAAAAAGATTTGTTTTCCATCTAAAAAAGTTTTATTTCAATTACCTGATCAATAAGTTTTTAACTTTATTTTATTTAAAGGCATAACACAAAAATGTGTCTTAACACAACTTGAAATGTATTGATTTACATAATTTTGCATAACAATTCATAGTAGGCTTTAAAAGTATTTAACAGGTTTAAGAACTTGTTTTTCTTTGTTTAACTATAATTACATTGAAAAAGACACAAAGAAAATCTGATCATTAAATATGTAAGGAAAATACAATTCATTAGTGTCAAGTATTTGTTAGGTGCATACTTGTTTCTGAAAATGGGCCAATGATGTTGAAAAAATTATTCTCAGATAAAAATTGCTCCATCATTTTGAAACCCTACTTATGACAAATACTGAAAGCTATCATTAAACACACAGAATTAACTGTGAGTAATAGATCATATATCTAAAAATGTGTTTTCTTTAACATTGCCAGAAAAACATATGATACTGGTAAATATATAGCCCAGTGTTCTCTAACTTAAAACAGCACCATAGCCTTGCAATACTTTTGGACATATATCTGGACTTAAAATTTCTGCATAGTATTTCAGCTTGAAGGTATTTAAAGCAACTGAGCTGTGAACCCTGAACAGCAGGCTTCATGGCAGCGATGCTGACAGACCCCTAATTACAAGGGTGCTCCTGAATGCATCATTGACATACTCTCTCACTATTTCTGTTTGACCATTAACTATGAGATGGATTTGCAAATTGCTTTTTTGTCACCAGAATTTCAAGGACAGAAAGGCCTGGGGATCCTCTAATAGTATACCTTCACTATTTTAAGCTTTCAGTGAAATACACCTGAAAGAAATGTTAAAAATACTTATTTCCATTTCCTTGACACCTGGGAGGACGGTACATTTCAAAACTGCAGTGCTTTGTTAAAAATACAATGCTAATAAACAACTTTACATATTTTAAACTATACGGGTTGTTTCTGCATTTTTAAGAGCCAAGTATAAACAAATTAAGTATTTTTGTATAATCCCCAAAAAAGATCAGATGAACACATTACTTACAACTTAATACCATTGCCAATATCATTTTGAAGCACTACTTTAAAACATCAAAACACAGTCCATTGAATCCATGTGATTCCCTACGTGGTGAGTTCAGTGTCACAGAAGTAAAATATAGGCTCAATAAATATTGTATTGATTTGAATATCAGATTTCTCAACCATTTAGTTTTGTGTTTTTAAAATATATTTACCTGTCTGTATGTACCCATAACGCTATAATTTGCTTTCTACATGGCTCTATCATAGCCAAATTGTTCTCACTACTTTTAAAACTGAGACCTCTTCATATTACTTCTTATAGATTTATTTGACTTTATTGCAGTGGTAGAAAGCCTTACTGTTGTCAGGCTCTTATCCCAAAAGAAAGATAGAGTTTACTGTTAATAACATTCAGATGAAAACATAAATTGTTGTCTATGCCTGGATGTTCTGAATATTTTACACATCTTTTTCAGCAGAGACAAAACTTCTATATTCAGAGGATCTCAGCTATCACCTGCTACTTGCATTTTGTTAAACACAGGTATGTATGGGGGTGGGAAAACATTGAAAGTTCACATTTTAGATTAATTCAATTTTTTTCAATTAATATGAAATCAAATATTTACTTTAGTATGGCCATGTGTTAACTATGGCTTTGTTTGCTGGTTACAAGTAAAATCACTCTGTAACTGACAATAAGTATGATTAATAGCAAAGAAAGCCATTTCTCTACAAAATGATTTTTAAAAGGTGGTGCAAAAATCTGAAGACAACCAAAATCTGATAACAGGTCAGACTAAATTGCACTCTATCTGTATGCCAAAAACATCCTTTCTATCTAAAATACTAATGCTCCAAATCAGTTCAGCACCATAAATGTAAAAGAATACTTCAAAACAGTTCTACCTTAAATATGTTTGGCAGAACAAACGGAATCCAGACCATCAAACATCTAAATGGTATCTTTAAAAATGTAGGTACTTTTCCTTTAATTTTCACATATCCTGACTTGTGGCATTGTGTAAGCAAAATAGCTACTTATTTGTATGTGCTGTTTTCATCCAGGTTTTTTGTTTGTGTTTGGGATTTGGAGGTGGGGTGGAAATCAATGTCCACTCTCACAATAAAGCCAATTAGAAAATGCTGGGCCCTTGGATGATGAACACTGTAAAATATACCACTTGTACAGAAATTTAAATTTCTAAGTATTCGGAGCTTTTCATATTTCAAGAAGAAAATAACCTACAAGATGGGCAGTTTATTAAAGGAGACATACATTTCTTAAGCCAAGTGCAAAATGAAACTTGCCCCAGGCTGCATCATCCTCTTCCCATAACAACTTCTTCTGATTTCTGTTCTGATATAAAAACCCAGTGAGATAACCAGCTCTAATTGACCTGGACTCCTCTTTCTCTCCATCCCCACCTACACACGGAATCCGAACTGAAGCCTGGCAGGGGGATGAGGCCCGGAGGGATGAGGGATCAACTACTGGGAACTGCCCGTGGCCCGTGGGAGTCTGGCCCCAGGGCCACAGTGGAGAACCTGGCACGATTCCTCCTTTTCCTCCGTCGCCCTGCGGCCTTGCTACCCTGCCCTCCACAGACCCCAGACCCCAGGGGTCCCGGGCTAGACGGGGCCGGAACCGGCGTTCGAGCCTCCTCTCCGCGCTCGGCTCACCGCCCCCTTCATCCCGGCGTCCAGTCCCCGGAGAGGGGACCGCCCGGGGACCCGCTGCCCTCGCACCCAGCTCGGCCCTGGGGGTCTCCGCGTCTCCCCCCGGCGAGGGCTACGGGGCAATCTGGGTCGCAATGTGGACGCCCACCGGGCTGTGCCAGAGGCCGAGGACCCTGCACCCTCAACCTGCGGAGCCGCGACCGGGGACGCGGGCTGCGGACACCCGCCCTCAAACTAACGGGCCCGGCGGGCGGAGGAGGCCGCGGAGGGCGCTCCGAACCCCGGAGTCGCTCCCTCCGCACCCGGGCCGCGGGCCACAGCCGCCCGCGACCTCGTAGAGACGGGAGGGACCTTTGGGAACCAAGTCCTTTAGAAGTAAGAACAAGACAAATCCGCAAATTTTCACCTCAGATTTCAAGGCCGGCGAACCGAAGGCATTTCGCAGATTTCCCCTCGGGCCCGCCCGGCCGGGAGAGGCGGGGAGCTCCGTCCCCGCGGGAAGCAGCGGCCCGCGCCCCCGCCCCCTCGGCTGGCCCGCGCCGCCCGCACTCGGGGGTCCGCGCCCGCGATCCCCCGGCTCCCCCGCCTCCGGGCGCGCGACGACCCCGGCGGCCCCGCCTTCCTCCCGGTAACGGGAACTGCCGCGAGCCCGGGAGCGGAGCAAATACCCCTGCCCTGCCCGTCCCCCTCACACGCTCCCCGAGCCCCGAGGTTTGCCTGCGACCCCCTCGGGCACCGGCGTGGCGGCCCACGCGCCGAAGCCGGCGCCCCGCCCCGGGCGCGAACTCCTGGCGCGGTCACTTGGAGAACACCGGTACCCAAACCCGGGACAGGCCGGGGCCGCTGAGGCTCCAGCGGGTCAGAACTGGGGGCACCAAACGAGCGGAGGGGCGATCGGCCGGGAGGAGAGCGGGCAGCGGCGCCAGGAACCCTGGGGAGGGCCCGCGCGGGCAGCCCGCAGTGCGGGGCCGGCTGGCATGCCCGGGGGGAGGACGCAGAAGTCGGGGGGTGGGGGGGGATGCCGGGGATCCTCACCCCTGGGGTGGGGGGCGGGGGCCATGCAACGAGTGGACACCTGGAGGCTCTGGGGAGACGGGACACAGGTCCGAGGAGTGGGTTAGAACTTCGGCGGGGAGGTGTGAGGGGTGATGAACGGACAGAGGGGACAGGGGCTGGCGTGGCGGCTGCGGGCACAGGTGGGAGAAGGAGGGATCTGCGCCGGGTCACTGCTCCCAAGCCCGCTGGGAAATCCGGGGGAAGAGGGCGGTCCAGGGGTCCCCGGAGTCAGAGCCTCCAAGGTAGACCGGAGGCCTGGAACCTCGTCCGGCCCCGGCCCCCCGCGGTCCAGGAGACGCCCGCGGGCAGGTCCCACGGCGTCCGGCCCGAGGCGGGTGGTGGCCGCAGCTTCTTACCTTGAAGGCCACGGGCAGGGTCTTGTTGCAACGCCAGTGCGAGGGCAGCACGGAGCACAGGAAGTTGGGGCTGTCAGTACGGACTAGCTCGGCCGGGTGGTCAGCTATGATCTCCACCATGGTGCGGTTGTCGTGCGGCGGCCGCAACCGGGGCACCGCAGCCGCTGCCGCAGCCGCCGCCGCCGCCGCTGCCTCTTGCTGCTGCTGCTGCTGCTGCTGTTGCTGCTGCTGTTGCTGCTGCTGCTGCTGTTGCTGCTGCGCAGCCACCACCGGGCTCACGTCGCTCATCTTGCCGGGCTGCAGGCTGCTGGAGGGGGGGCTGAAGCGCCGGCTGGTGCTCGGATCTACGGGAATACGCATCACAACAGCCACAAGTTAGCGAAGTGGCCGGGGGAGGGGGAGGAGGGTGGAAATGAGGGGCGAGGAGGAGGAAACTGGGGGGGGTGGAGGCGAGACGGGGGAGAGGGGATGGAGGTGATGGGACTGAGGAGGTGAGAAATCAAGTTCGATGAAGCCGACTGCCAGGCCGAGTCTGACGGGGGACAGCGGTGGTGACTCGGAGAGGTCGGGTTGGCGGGTGGGGAGACCCGGGAGGCGCAGATCTTTGCAGGAGCCTTTGGAACACTCAGGGTGGCAGCTGCGAACGGGTGCAGGGATGTGTTTGGCCCGGGGAGGCGGGGGGTGGCTTCAGTTTGCAGCTTAGAGCGGGGTCCCTTGGGGCACCGCGTCCTGGGTGCGCTGGCGCCCCCTCCCAGTTCGAGTCCGACGGTGGAGGCGAGTGCGTTTAGTCCAGCCTCGGGGCCGGCCGTGCCCCGCGCAGCCCGCCACCGCCGCGCCTCCCCGCGCGCAGCTATCCAGCTGCAGGCGTCCGCGCCGCCGCCCGCCGGCTTGGGCTGCTACCGCCGCCTCCTCCGCGCGGCCGCCGCTCCCCCCGCGCCGGCTGCGCGCTCAGATTCCTCCCGCGGCGGCTGCCAGCCCGGCTCCCCGGCTCCGCTCCTTCCTTTCCCTTCTCCTCTTCTCCCCCTCTCACCGCCACCTCCTTGCATCCACTCCCTCCTGCTATTTGCAAAGCTCCCCTGACCCTCGCGCTTTGAGGTGTCAGGAGGTAAGTCTCAGGCAGCGGATTTCGGGGCAACGGATCTTGAGCATTCGAATAGCAGCCGCTGCCGCCGCCCGCCGGCCGGGAGAAGGAGCCCCCTGGACGCCGCGCGCAGCTTCCGAAGCCGAGAGAGGCGGCCCTGGTCTAAGGGCATCTAGCCTGGTCTCGTCCTCTCGCTTCTTCCCGCCTCCCCACCGCCCCCCCCCCCCCCCAGGGCAAGGAACCCCCTTCTAGGTCGGACGAGGTTGAAGCGGAGACGCCAGACAGCCGCGGGCTGATCTGACTGTCGGTATTTTTCGTTGTAACTTCAGGAGAGGAGGAAGGAAAATTCTTAAGCCTCTGTGCTGACTTCTCCGCTCTCTTCACCCTTCCCCCACCCTACCCGCCCCCCACCTCTGCCGTGGCGGCTCCCGGGGGTGAAAAAGATTTTGCAGAGTTTGGATGTGTTGTTTTTTTTTTGTCTTAAGTGACACAAAAAATGGGAAAGGGTCACGCGTCAAAATAGTTTTTAAAAACTCGAGTGGGTGACTGGACAGTGTTTTTTTTTTTTCTTTCTATATTCAAATTTGTTGTTCCTAGAGAACAAGGTTGACTTGTTTTAAGGACTGGAAAACTGTCATCTTGGTGATTAAAATAAATTGCAAAAACCCTTGCTGGAAAGAAATTCCAGCAATTTTCCATCAATTTAGATATTCTATTAAGTCTATTCTGCCTCTAAAACTACGTCTCATGTCTTAACTCTCTTTCCCACCACTCCCGGGGAAAAAAGTAAAACTACAAAATAAAATATTCAAAATGTTTCCATGGCTATTTATTTGTGTGTTTATTTCCCAATACGGGTTTAAAAAGCGATTTTGGATCCCCCAAAAAGTTGTGGTCGAGAGGATGAAGGAGCGCGGGGGAAAAAGCGGCAGTTTTACCTAAAATGTGGTTTTTGGAGGCTGGGATTTCTAATGATTAGGTTTTTGTGGTTTATATAGACACGACTCTGGCTGAGGCGATCATTACGCTGATGAGAGTCAGAAGCACGTGGGTGTCTCCGAACAGCCTCAGACTCTGAGCCTTCAAAACAAATAAAACAACGTGCGGCGCCCGCAGAAGCCGGGAAATCCGCTTGAGGCTCCTGCGCCCCTCTAAGGGGGCACCAGGCCGGTTCCCTCCAAGGTGTGTGGACTGCTACGTTCCTTGCTTACTGTCAAACTCCTTCAAGCCTTCCAAAGCTCGAAAACGTGTTTGCAAAAAGAATCATCAGTTGTCAAAGTTTCAAAGATTCCTAATAGAGTAGCTGACACAGTAATAAATTATTTTATAAATAAATGAAAAATTAGAATGCCTCCTCCACCTCGGAGCATTAAGGAAGGTAGTTGAGTCACCACTGATCTCCCCCCTATCTCTTTTCAAACAATTGATGTACCCATTAATTAGCGTTTTTATTGCTCAGCGCAGACCCCTCTCTCACCCCAGTAGCGACCCGCCAGGACCCTCCTCCCTCTCCGTTGCTGGAGCACTGAGTCCTCTCGCTGAGCCAGCGCTGGGGTCGCCCGCCTTTGAATGGGTCTAGAGGAGCTTAGAGAGTGTGCGTTGGGGTGGGGGTGGGACACAGAAAAGGGGACCTGGTGCCAGTCAAGGATTTTGGAGCCCATTTCAAGCGTAAGATGAACTTGAAGGGCTGTATTTAGTTGAGTGACTTGGAGACCAGGTTTGCCCTCTACAAAGATATGCACCGGAGATAGAGGGGCTTTCAGCTGCAGGAGCGATGGAAGGGAGGTGGGTAGCCATGGGCGCAAGCGCGGGAGGGGTAAGGATGGGGTTCAGGAGACATTGCTCTGTCCTTCCCCCTTGGGGATTGATTTTCACATTCCTTTTCTCCATTCACAACTCCGAGCCTCCCCCTCATCCGTCTTGCATTTTCCCACTTTTTTTCTCCACGTTCCCGCCTCACTCCCTAATTCCCCCACAGACGCGAGCCAGTTCGCCTAGACTCTCCAGCCTCCTCTGCCTTCCCACGGCCGCCGGCCACCCTTGTTGGCCTGGAGAAAAATCGTGCACCAGCTACGAAGACACCCCCACCCCCCAGCCTACTCCTCGCTCCTCGGCCTGGCAGCTGCAAGGGTGTGAGAACAAACTTATCCAGACGAACTTGACGCGCAGCGAGGAACTTAGTTGTCCGCTGCGCGTGCGATTTTTAATTATCTTTTCCGTCGCAGGGGAGAGCTCTAACCCCGGGCACCGATGCGCCTCCTGAGCGCACAAGGGCACAGTCTTCCCCGGCCGAAGGCTGCCGACCTATGAAGGGAAGTCAGGCTTACCCCTCCAAAACAGTAATAAAGATAAGACAGCATCCATTACTCTCCTACCTTACACCCACTCACAGGCACTCAGACACACACTCTCGAACGTCCACACACTGACACTCTTAAATACACATTTACACATACACAGCTCACGTACATGGTTTTTTGGGGTTGTTCTGTTCTGGGGTGTTTTTTTTTTCTTTTCCTTTTAGGTGGGCACTTTGTTTTGGGCACACGGTATACACTGTCTAACAAAGATCTGTGACTTGTTCTGTTTTGTTTTTAAAGGTGCGGTGGCTGCAAAGGAAGGGAGAAGTTACAGGAAGTGAATTATTTCTGTGGTCAAAGGGAGATAGAAATTCAGTAGCTACAGCCGTAGGTTATATGCCAGTATATCTGGGGTTCTCCTTATCATCATCCCAGGAAGTCCCCAAAGCAGGGAACTCCCAGATAACTCGAAGATGCTAAGTAATAGTCAATATTTCATATATGGGCGACCAGACAAGGCTTTTTTGAACAAGATATTGGAGGGTATTTTAAATTTCAGTAATCACCTAAGGGGCTTTACCTCTTTCTTTCTCTCTCACTTTATTCCCTCTTCTTTGTCTTACTTGGTGGATAGCAAAACATGCAGGCCTCCATGGGAGTACCTTGGCTGGGGATTTTAAGGGCAATTTATTCAATGGGGAATTATTTATTTTAATTAATCATATCTGGTAATTCAGTTTGAAAGGCTTCCTTGGGCACCCTCCCTCCATTTCACGTTTCAGTGGAACTAATATAAGCAGCTCCTGGAAGTTAGTAGTCTTGGATCCCTTAAAATATCCTACAGTTATTTATAACATGGAAATGAAATTTTCCACCGAATACCCTAACAACATTTCAGGTATCTGGCACTGCAGATTTTCAGTCTCCTTGAAAAATACCCTTTTGCTGAACATTCACACTTTCAACTGGAGCTAACTGAGCCTGGAACCGATGATGTCTTGGCTCTAAGAATTATACTTAAAGGAAGAAAACATTTTTACAGACCCTTAAACCAAACCTCTCCTGGTAGGCACATATAAAAACCCTGAAATTTCACATCTGTGTATTTTGTGTTATAGTTTGCATGATCTCACTCGGGTTTTGATTTTCTTCACTCCAAAGTGTTTGGAACAAATTAACCACTAGATTCCTGTTCAGAACTATTTACCTTTTCTGTTGTATGTTATGGCATAAAAAGAAGAACGTACAATTTTTTCTGAAAATGTGGCTGCTCTAGAAGATACAAGCGCAGATTTCCCCTTCGTGTCCTTTAACACTTAGTATGACTGTTCAGTAACAACAACTGGTGAATGAAATCTGAAGTGGTCAAGTTATTTCTATCTAATCAAAGAATTGAATCCCTAAACTGGGAACAAAACCCCTGCTTCTTTCATTCAAATTTCATCCTCTAACCCCTATACATTATTTTATATATACTTTTTCTTGATGAAATGTGAAAAAGTCACCAGAAAATCTTACAATCGTTTCCAATGGACCAGCTAATAAGCTCGAATAAACTTTCAGATGTTCAGTGGAAAGTCATGGACATACTGATGATCCCTAAAGTTTTGGGGTGTCATATGGAAAACTCTCTAAACAGAGGTTTCCTTTGGATGGTGACTGAGTTAAGGATATCTAGCTCTTGAAGAAGCAGTACTGCCAGAAGGCCAGGGGTTGTCATACGACATACAGCCCGCAGGCCAAATCTGGCCTGATGCCTATTTCCATACGACCCAAAGTCAAGAATGGGTTTTGTATTGTTAAACACTTGGGAAACTTCACAATAAGAAGAATATTCATGGCACGTGGAAATGATATAAAATTCAAACTTCAGTGTCCACAAATAAAGTTTTATTAGGACATAGCTGTATTCATGTGTTTATGTATTGTCTTTAGCTGACTTTGCCTAACACAGCGTAATTGTGTAGTTATTTCAAAGACCATATGGCCTGTAACACCAAAAATAGTTCATATCTGGTTTTTCATAGGAAAGTTTGCCAGTCCCTGCCCTAGAGTAGAAGGGATGAAGGGCCCTAGCAGAATAGGACAGCGGAAAGGGATAGATAGTAAAAGAAGATATTGGAGCAGAGTGTGTATGCGATCCAGATTAGGTTTTTTAAAAAAGTGAAACATGCCACCATTTAATGTGTTCTTTTCTGTATAAATTGTTAACTACTTAGACTAATATTTTTCATCCAATAATTTTGGATGTGCGAAAACAGACAGAAAAGAATGAGGAGTTAGCGTTGTTTCGTGGTCTCCTGAAGGACAGTCATCTGCTACAGCTCAACGTAGCAGCGTTTCCATTGTCCTTCATAGTGGGAGCACATTAACTGCACAGATGAGAAAAAGACTAAAAAAAACTTCGACATAGTCTGAACGTAAAAAAAAACAGGTAAGGTTTTAATAAGTTTATTCCACCTGTTTTACAGATGATTACACAAGAAACATAAACGAGCTTACTAAGAATTTTCTGGTATACAATATTTTCACAAGTCCTGTATATATACTTTTAAGACAATGAGCTTGAAAACTTAGGTGGTCTCAAAGCTTTCTGATGTTTTCCATTTTAATTTTTTATACGGTTAAATACTGACTGATTTGTTTTGAGCTCAGTAGATTTTCCCCCTTGTCAATGTACCTATAATAATTTGCAAGACATGAAATGTTTGTATTGGAGGGTTTAGTGTTATACACTTTTCCTTGTTGTTCTAGTTAGCATCCCCGTGGGCCATTTTCAGACATTTATAAGAGAGCGTGGCATCGTCATAAAAAGACTGACACCCAACACAGGATCTCTCAGAACCACATTTATGGAGCGGCTGTCAAACTGCTCTTCAGGAATGGCACTGACCGAAGTGGCGTCGTGTGTGACTAAAAGAGCAACTTACTTAATGACATCCTATTTGCCCGAAGAGACCAATGTGATTTCTTAAAAGGGTCTAATTTATTGCCCAGGGGTCAGAGAAATAACACTAATTTTCCCAAATCAGCCTTTTAGTATTTTGGTGTTACCCGTTGTTCTATGGCAGTAGCAGT